TAAATCCATTTCGATACTGATAAAATCAAATCTTAGATTTTTCAATGCCGTTCAGCTATAAATGAAGTCATAAATCATGGAATCTGTTATTGTATTCGTTGTTATCGTGGACTAGCAAAGTTTCAACAGCATAGCAATCCAGACTTATGATGTCAAACCGTTAGAATTGGTACCTCAGATCTACATCAGTCAACGTTCGCTGTTGTGCCATGTGTCATATTCCTCATGAAAATCAGTTTCGCCTCCAGGATACGCTTCCACATTTTGCATTGCTCTCCTAATGTATGTAGCAAGTCGACGATTCCAATAAAATTAAAATTTTTAATAAGTTTCATTCAGTAGCAATTCTCTTTGCAATAAGCCTGAAGCTATGCAAATGTTAGACGTATTCAACTTTTCCTCGATATACGTAGTTTGGAAATGCTTATACTTAATAATTTCGCTAGAATTTGCATGTAGTGGTTTATATTTATAAATCAAACATGCAAATTAAGTTCTAGATCTACCCTGCGCAGTCCTTTGAAACATCAATTTCTCGAAGACAACTTCATAATAACGTCTAGTCTATGGAGTAGTAACTTAATGGCCTCAGGGAGTCGGTATAAGCGTGAATAAAACGTCGAGAAAGAAACATAAAATTGGCACCGAATTAACAACAAGAATTTATGAACAATTTCAAGAGTCAATGAAAAAATGAATAAACAGTAAAATTTAAATAAGTGCTTGTTACCTGCCCTATGCCAGCCAAAGCTCATTCGTCGAGTTGCTGGGCGAGATGCGATAAAAATCGAGAAAAGGGAAATTAGAAAGCTTGCTAGATCCGTAAGAAGATGAGCCGCGTCAGTCATGATTGCCAGGCTGTTGGCCAAGTAACCACCTAAAATTTACCAGTGCATTAAATTATCTCTGTGATCTGCAATGTGCTAAATTTTAAACTGTCAAAAATTCCGTGAGTTATGCAAAGGCAATTTAAAACTGTTCGACATCCATGTTAGCTAATCAGACTTCAACTTTTCTCACGGATTGGAAGCGGATACGTGAAACAAAACTCAGTAACTGCATCATCTCTAATACACAGATGACAAAAGAACAATAAGTAAAGATATAGACGACGATAAGTAAAAACCTGAAGAAACAGTCTGACGTCATCACAAACAATATGAAATTTTTTGGAGTGGTTTTAAAGAGGTTTTGCTGGTCATGTTTCTTTGCGGTTATAGATTCAAAGAGTCGTTGCTGAAGAGCCAGTTTTTCTGAATTTTTTTACTTAATGATAGGCAGTTAATTGAGGCTTCCGGAAAATTGGGGAAGGACTCCCACTCACGTCTTTCTTCGTCTGGTTCCTGTTACATTTTACGCTCTTTTGTCTATAAAAATGCGATGTGATTTGCGGATTCGCCATTGACCCGTTGCCGTGGAAAGGAAGCCATAAAAATGGCTGTGTTTGTTAACATCATCACTTTGAAGATTTGCATAAGCAAAACGACTCTGGCTTCTAATGTATGCTGCATTCACAGCCTTCCAACGCTTTTGCCATGACATATCGATTACTCTATCACAGAAAGAAATATTCTTCACCAAATGCAGACCTTAACTCCGCCGTTGTCGGTCCTAAGCCCGGTTGAGAAAAGAAGAGGGCTGGATACCGTGGCGAAGTCTCTGGAAAATTTTGCCACCTGCCTTCATGGTACTGGCATCATCGAAAATTATACCGGCTCAGTCGTCGCCTGGGTTACCAACGACCGCGCAGGCTTTTGGGAGACTGAGGTAGGCTGCGAAAAGTCGGCAATCAGAACCTGCTCATCGCCATCTGCCAGCCTGGGGAGTAGCGGCACAACAACAACTGA